ACATAACATATTTATCATCCTATCCAATACCCGTTTAATAAATCAAATGATTAAACTGTCATCGTGGGTATAATGTAATGCTAAATACTGCATGACCGTAGTTTACATAAACTGAACGTGGGTTTTTAATGCTCCATAGGGGATGTAAATGATTCAGATGGATTGGCAAATGCTTCACATTGATGCTTTTAAGTTAATGTAGATTAGGAATGATATATACACTTTATGCATGTTGGGGACATCTCAGTTTGTTCTTCATAACAACGGAGTAAGTGATGGTGAGATCGCGCGACGCCTTGGCACTGCAAAGCCAACCGTAGCCAAGTGGATCAAGCGATACGAGGACACTGGCGACTGAACGACCTGCCTCCAAGTGGATCCTCGCGGCACGACCGAGGAGGAGGACAATAAACCCTGTACCCTGCTAAAGCATTTTTATATGAACCAAGCAGTAGCATTGGGCATAGACAGAGATCCGTTCTATTCTGTTAATAACATCAAAACTAACCTTCGACTGGCATGCTGTGCAGCAACGGATCGTAGTAGACACCAGGCATTGGGCTTGCGTGCACGCACTCCAGCCTGTAAGGCGAAGCTTGTGGGTGTGCGCGAGTGGGGATATATATATATATATATATATATATATATATATATATATATATATATATATATATATATATATATATATATATATATATATATATATATATATATATATATATATATATATATATATATATATATATATATATATATATATATATATATATATATATATATATATATATATATATATATATATATATATATATATATATATATATATATATATATATATATATATATATATATATATATATATATATATATATATATATATATATATATATATATATATATATATATATATATATATATATATATATATATATATATATATATATATATATATATATATATATATATATATATATATATATATATATATATATATATATATATATATATATATATATATATATATATATATATATATATATATATATATATATATATATATATATATATATATATATATATATATATATATATATATATATATATATATATATATATATATATATATATATATATATATATATATATATATATATATATATATATATATATATATATATATATATATATATATATATATATATATATATATATATATATATATATATATATATATATATATATATATATATATATATATATATATATATATATATATATATATATATATATATATATATATATATATATATATATATATATATATATATATATATATATATATATATATATATATATATATATATATATATATATATATATATATATATATATATATATATATATATATATATATATATATATATATATATATATATATATATATATATATATATATATATATATATATATATATATATATATATATATATATATATATATATATATATATATATATATATATATATATATATATATATATATATATATATATATATATATATATATATATATATATATATATATATATATATATATATATATATATATATATATATATATATATATATATATATATATATATATATATATATATATATATATATATATATATATATATATATATATATATATATATATATATATATATATATATATATATATATATATATATATATATATATATATATATATATATATATATATATATATATATATATATATATATATATATATATATATATATATATATATATATATATATATATATATATATATATATATATATATATATATATATATATATATATATATATATATATATATATATATATATATATATATATATATATATATATATATATATATATATATATATATATATATATATATATATATATATATATATATATATATATATATATATATATATATATATATATATATATATATATATATATATATATATATATATATATATATATATATATATATATATATATATATATATATATATATATATATATATATATATATATATATATATATATATATATATATATATATATATATATATATATATATATATATATATATATATATATATATATATATATATATATATATATATATATATATATATATATATATATATATATATATATATATATATATATATATATATATATATATATATATATATATATATATATATATATATATATATATATATATATATATATATATATATATATATATATATATATATATATATATATATATATATATATATATATATATATATATATATATATATATATATATATATATATATATATATATATATATATATATATATATATATATATATATATATATATATATATATATATATATATATATATATATATATATATATATATATATATATATATATATATATATATATATATATATATATATATATATATATATATATATATATATATATATATATATATATATATATATATATATATATATATATATATATATATATATATATATATATATATATATATATATATATATATATATATATATATATATATATATATATATATATATATATATATATATATATATATATATATATATATATATATATATATATATATATATATATATATATATATATATATATATATATATATATATATATATATATATATATATATATATATATATATATATATATATATATATATATATATATATATATATATATATATATATATATATATATATATATATATATATATATATATATATATATATATATATATATATATATATATATATATATATATATATATATATATATATATATATATATATATATATATATATATATATATATATATATATATATATATATATATATATATATATATATATATATATATATATATATATATATATATATATATATATATATATATATATATATATATATATATATATATATATATATATATATATATATATATATACTGCGCTGTTCCATAACACTTCGTCAACTTTTTCATGTTAGTTTGTGTAAAAGGTAACAATATATATTTTTCTAACTGTATGTACAATTCCCCACAGTTACAACTGGTATACCTTTGTGGTACGTGGACTACATTTTTTCTAGCAATACAGTATTCTGTAAAGGGAATGCTATTGTTTGTAACAAACCTTATGACTGGCCTGTGGTATTTCGCATATATTTTCATTGCCAATTAATATCAGCCATTAGAATTATTTTTCAAAATATGAAAACATTACATTGTTTTGCCATAGGCCAACATTATTGCTTGGAACTAGTATAACTTGTAACTTTAGCACAATCACGATAGCTAATCTATGATATCGTTTAGTCTTAAATCAGCTTTTGACAAAAACAAAAACAAAAAAAAACTTTCGTAAAGAGATATATAAGAATTTTCGTTAAATTTATAAATGTTAATCACATCATTTGGAGAAATATGAATCACATATTATTTTATCTGTAAATGTCAGTCTTAATTTTTTCACTGTCTCTGCTCGGCTCCCTGGATGAACATTACGCAATTTCTTAAGGGGTTGTGTGAGGTCTCCGACCCTTCACCCCCCCCCCCATCCTGGACTGTACCCCCCCCCCCCCCCTTATCCTCCTCACCCTTGCTTCCCTTAGTCTCCCCTACCTCCCTTTTGCTGTAGTCTCCCCCTTTACCCTCTTCTCCAACCTTTTCCCCTTCTCTCTCTCACTCTTCTCTTCACGTATCCTGACACTTGTACCCTATTCGCTCTACCCTCTATCCTTCGTCTCTCCTAAATCTCTCAATCTAGTTTTCTTCTCTTCCCCGTTCCTTCGTCATCCATTCTTATCCTTCTCTCGTTTTCTCTCTCATTTCTCACATTCACTCCTTTTGTTCATTTTTCTTCTCTTCTCCTTTGCTATTGACGTTCTTCTGTATCTTTTTCGTCCCCCCCTTACTAATCTCTCTCGCTTTCTACCTTCCCTATTCCCCCGTTGACCTCTCGCTCATTTCTTTCATTTTCATCTCTCGGCTCGTTTGAATTTCTCTCCTTTTCGTTCTTTTCCTTAAGCTTTCGTCCTCACACCTACCCCCTATCCTCTACCCTAATACCCTACCTATCCCCTCGACACCCTTGATACCCGAATCCCGAATCCCGAATCCTGAATCCCGAACCAACTTGGGTAATCCAGCGGGCGGCGCTCAAACACGCTGGAGACGATTCCTGCACACACAACACGGCTACATTGTATTGCTGCCAAACCCTGTACTTAATAATAATTGTACAAATAAAACTTTATATATAACTGTTGTTATCTCCCGAGTTTTCCCTCTGAGCTTCAATGTTCCGAATCAGTGAGGTGGCTTATTTTACGAGATTTAACGCTTTATTTTATCATATGCGATCTTGTAAGGGTAGATCGTTTTTTTTTTCTCTTAAATTTTCTTATGCATTTACTTTTTAATTCTTTATGAGTTAAACATTTATATTTCATTTTAATACCGAACCCCTCCCCTTTATTTAACTACTTTAATTTTACGTTATTGGTTTTATTTTTCCTTTTTAAAACCTGTTTAAATCTTTAGTTTTATTATTAATCCTTTTTTCAGTCTTAAACTGTTTTATGACGTATCATTAATATCTTTTACCGTGTTGTGAATTCTATTTTTTCTACTCAAATGTATCTCTTTATCTGTTTTACTTACTGTGTTTTTAATGTTTTGCAAATATTTCTAATGTTCACTTTTAGTAGGTTTTTCACCTGGTTGTTGTATGTTTTAGCTATTTTCTATTGTTAATATTTCCTATGGTTGTGTATTGTATTCTTAATTATTTATACTTGTACTCTGTTTAAATAACTGTTGCCACAGTAACGTGGCCCAACTGTATATATACCCTGGAAAAATAAACCCGCGAGGGAGTTGTCTCTGGACTCTGGTGTTTGTGTGTACCCCTGGATTACCCTATACTGTGGCGTCGCTGGAGCAGCAAGACAAGGTTGTGTCTGAGCCGTTTTTACATGCCAGTTAGGACATTGCTGGACGTGGGCATTTGTGATAAACCTCAGGGTTTACGAACCTTTACATTGGCCAGCACCAGCCAGAGATACCCCATTCCTCCACTTTTAAGGTTTAAGTAATTTTTAAGTATCCGTTCCTTCAGAACGAGCTTTGTATTCTTATTATATTTATATTTTTATTTAGCCACGGTGCTTTGCTTTTTTTTTTTTTTTTTTACTTTTGTTTTATTAAGATAGTCATGAACCACACGGCCAGACTCACTTTCTAAGGGACGTGTACCTGGGGCATGGGACAGTATCTCCTCACGGGGGAAGTGAGCCCTAAGCCGCCATCCTCCGCTTGGGTGGATGAATTTTCGGGCTTCCCCTCAACAGAAAGCCTTACAGTTGTTTATGTTGACAGCTTCTAAGAGGCTCGGAATGCACATTCGGGTAATA